AAATATATTTTTGTAATATTTAACCAAAAATAATATCCATCACTATTCAGGATGAATGGATCAATCGGTTATTCATAGACATACAAAATATTAAAAGCATTTTATTTTGAATTTCAGTATGTGAACGTGAATTAAAATCATACTTTTAATGAATTTGATCTATATTTTACAGTCGTTGAACATATAATTATTTAATGAAAACGAAATGTAATTCACGGGCGTCTACGCCTGGACCGGTTCTTGTTCGACAATATACAGATGACATACACCAACTACCTTTAGGAAACTGTACAGTATTATGTCATATCGGTACATATGGAAGGGGAGTGAGACGAATTTTTAGCATAAATACCACAGCTCAGGTCTCTATAATCATCAGTTCATTTCTGTACACAGTCATTGAATAATTTTACAAAACAACTAAAACAACACTAAAATGGCCGCTAAGGTAAGTCAATATTCATTTTATTTTATGTTTTAAAAGTGTGCGTTTCAATGCAAATTTATTTTTAATATAAGAAAAAAAATATAATATGGCGATTCGAAAAAAATGAATAGTTTTTAATTCAGAATTTTTTTTTTTTATTTAGTTCGTCATCTTCGCCGCTTGCGTGGCTACCGCCCTCGCTCAATACTCTGCCCCAGCTTACAAGCCAGCGTACTCTGCGCCAGCTTACTCAGCGCCAAAAGCTTACGCCCCAGAGCCCGCATACGCACCAACACCATACAACTTCGAATACAGCGTAAACGACCCACACACCTACGACGTGCACAGCCAATCCGAATACAGTGACGGAAACGGTTACGTCAAGGGAACCTACAGTCTCGTTGAAGCCGATGGCTCAATCCGCACCGTCGAATACACCGCCGATGACCACAGCGGTTTCAACGCCGTCGTCAAGAATGAAGGTGGATACAAGGCTCCATCATACTCCGCACCAGCCTACAAGCCAGCTTACTCAGCACCAGCTTACTCTGCACCAGCATACTCTGCACCAGCATACTCTGCCCCGGCCTACAAGCCAGCTTACAAACCAGCATACTAAATTATTTAGCTATGTGTACCAACACCCTTCTTCGTCTTTTATTTCATGTTTTTTTCGTGTACCTCTCCATGCCATCGCGTTCATATTGTACCGTGGTTTCAAAGTCATACCATGCCGTATTAATATACCAGACAATTGGTACGACTTATGTAATTATTGTGTAAATATATATATAACAATGGTTATATTTATTGAACATCTATGATTTTTTTATTTTAACTACCGCCATGCACTCCTACCTGAAAATTAACTTTATATTAATTTATAAAATTATTCAATGTAAAATATATTTTACATATTGTTTTTGTGCCATATATATGCTTAAATATTTATGGTTATTTCAGGCAACAAATTTTAATTAGTTGATACATGGAGGGAGGCTTCTAAAGTAATTAATTCTTAGTACATTTCTCAATAATCATAAAGAATTTAAATAAAAATAAGTTCATTTTATGCAAGAAAAGTTTCACATGTTTGAATTGCTATAAAAGTATGAGTGTAAGTACTCGAACTTTGCACAAAGTATATAATATAATAATAGTAATTTATATTCCTTAGAAAGTTATAAATAGATCAGACTATGAACAGTTGTTCTTTGAATATTGCTTATCAAAAATATATATAATGGCAAACAATAACAATAGACTTTCACAGTTTTACGTGTATAAGTTACAACCATCGAGTGTTCAGCAAAAAGTACATCGATTCAGCGAACTTTCACTTATAAATCATACACTGCTGTTGGTAAATCTACATAATGTTATATATTTTACATTATATCATAACTATATTATAGTATATTATATCGGTTTTACTTAGATATGCAATATAAATCTATGAGTGTAGTTTTCTGTAAAATAAGAGTGTACAATTATACAAATTTAAAATGTCATTGCATTGGGTGACGATGTTTGAAGAAGCAGTAATTTTAATTGTGGAAGTATTGGTAGGCTGTGCAGTTAGTTCTGTGAAGACGTGTATTTTGTGATCGATACGTACGTAACCATCTAAGGACTAAGAATAGCTGTGTTTCAAGTGATTTAGCGATGAGGACACATAATATATTATTAACATTTTAATAAAATCGCTCACTCACGTTATAATTTTAAAAAAAAATGTTCGTTTGGAACATGAATAAATTTAGCTGTAATCACTGTAGGTACTCTATCATGGCCATGCTATTATATAGGTCTTTATGTCTAAATGTCAATATTATACTTATTTTTATTGTATTAGTGGCTCGGTATGGCCCAGCGAAATTAATCTCGAAACTTATTGAGAGTAAGCAATGGCTGCTGCTACTAGTTCCCGGATGGGTGACAACCCGGGTCCATAGTGGCAAAAACCTTGCCACACATACAAGTGTTGCTAACCGATCATACCAAACGTACCAACTGTTCGAACCCTACCAACTGTAACCCCTACAATAGCTAATGCCCATAGTTGCCGGGCTCTAGACCAATAAAACAAATTTACTTTAATTTAATTAATTCAGTTCAATCTTTTCTTGTGCTAAGTCATGTTTGTTAATTATTTGTCCAATAAAATTTAGTAAAAACATAATTTTAATTTTCCAGTTATTTCAAAGAAAAAATATCATCAGAGTGTTCTGATGAGAAAATGTGTTGGTTTTTATATCAGGGCAAATTTATACTAGGTAGTAAAAAAATTGTTTAATCATTAACTTGGATGAATCAGATCTATCAGATTCTATCAGAAACAATAGAAAATTAGATCTAATAGTACTTTTGAGAGGTCAAAAAATTAATTCTAAGTATTTCATAAATGGTCATAAAAAAATGGTAGGCAAGTGGATATCGCTCTGTTATAAGGTAGCTGCAAGTCAAGTGTCTCACTGGATTACTGGAAATTGTGATGGATATGTTCAATTTGAATTCAATGACAAATCATTAAATACGAAAATGATTCTGAACGAAAACTGTCATTCTATACTACTAAGTATATATTATGATATAATTTCTATGAATGTAATGTATTTTACTATTGGTAATAAAGTAGGTTAAATTAAAATTTTCAAAACAATTTCATTGGAAAATTGCATCGTTTAAATTTTCAATGTATACCTTTATCATTGTATTTTTTTAAGTAAATTTATGTAGTTTAAAAGTTTCAAGTATCCACCAATAATATTTTTAAATTACAATAAAATAAATAAAATCGTAATTATGTGTTTAAAATATCTAATTTTGTTAAAATGTTATCTTAGAATATCTATAAAAAATTATTTATCGACAATAAATTTAAAAAGTCGAATATTTTTCATGTTTATAAATAGATCAAAAAGATTCAAAATATTTAGGAACGTGTATCATATTATAATATGGAAAATGGTCATATATAAATTATTTAATATATCAAATGTTATACGCGTTTTTGAGTTACGTATAATAACGAAATTGATTTTTACAAAAAATGGTTTCAAGTAAAAGTTCTAATTTTTCCATAATTTTTTTATAGGTTTTTCCCAACGAATTTCAAAAATACTAAAAATGTCTAACTTTTTACTCCCCCCTTATCCTTCACAAACACACACTCACATACAAAAAGTTACCAACTTTCCCTTTCTTAACAGAAAAGATGCTGTATTAGAAAATCAGAGCATTTTCAATAGGTACCCAAAGGGTGATGACGAACGAAAATCATATTTATATAGTATTATTAAAATAACACAACCATTAAGATTTTTTATTTAATATTTTCTATACAGAAGAGAGGTACCCACTTTCAAAACCCTTTATTTAGTCGTCATCAGAAAAGCAAAAATATGTTCCAATATTCAATGTTTAGTTTGGTTTCTAGTTGAAAACGTGATGTATAAATCTTAGTATATAGTTGGTACTTTAGGTTTTTCTCATCAAAAGTAAAAAATTATGTTTTTACAAAAAGATACATTCAAAATAATAAATGGAAATAACATGACCTATAAGTCGCATTTACACAAACGTTGAGAACCGATCAAAAAGCACTATAGCATAAGTAAATCAACAGTTAGCGTGTGTAATATGTATACATAAAATATTGTTTAGATGCCGAGAAAAATAATGTATGGTAAAAGATTATTCTTAAAATATTTCATGTACAGATACAGCTATTTGAAGAGTATTTAAAATACTTATTTGAGAATACACAAATACGTATTTGAATAAAAATAAAGATTCTTTAAAAATATTTACTTGGTAATACTTTTAAATTTATTACGTAATATTTTTTTTTTACGTACTTAATCGACTTGTCTGAATTTGTATTATTATTTTCATGTTTTAAATTGATTGTATATTTGTACATGCATTTTACTTAGCAACATTTGTAGTAATACTAAATTACACCCATCTGTTTTCCAGGTCAAGGTACTTTTAATTTCGTTTGGATTTAAGTCACACCAAAAAATTAATATTATAGTATACGTCTATCTACACGAGTATAACATTTTCAGAAACATATACAGAGTAAATAGTGGTCCAGAAACACACAAAAAATAAATACAATAAATCCATAAAATAATATGAATATTGTAATAAATTATAATCATCGGTAAAAATTCGAAATATGAGGGATGGTAAACCATAAAAGTTAAATTACAGACATACGTGAGAGTAAAATCAATTTATATTAAATGGAATATTGAATATGAATGAGATTTATGTATTAAATGAACTTGATCCATATTTACACTCTTTAAACGCAATTGTATTATTCAGTAGAAATGAAATGTAATTCACGGGCGTCTACGCCTCAACCGGTTCTTATTCTATGATATACAAACAATATACAATAAATATCGATAAAAAATTACATTATATCATAAACGAATGGAAGGGATATTGTGACAAATTTTTTACATAAATACCATAACTCAAGTCTGTATAATCACCAGTTCATTTTTGCACCCAGTCAACGAATACCAAGTAAAATACCAACCAAAATAACACTAAAATGGCCGCTAAGGTAAGTCAAAATTATTTCGATATAATATTTTAAGACGTTTTAGTATTAATAGTTATAGATTTTTAGTTATAATAGTACAATTTAAAAAAAAACTATCAGCGAGTGTAAAAAAAAACATTGTTTTTAATTCAGAATTTTTTTTTTTATTTAGTTCGTCATCTTTGCCACTTGCGTGGCTACCGCCCTCGCCCAATACTCTGCCCCAGCTTACACGGCGCCAAAAGCTTACGCCCCAGAGCCCGCATACGCACCAACACCATACAACTTCGAATACAGCGTAAACGACCCACACACCTACGACGTACACAGCCAATCCGAATACAGTGACGGAAACGGTTACGTCAAGGGAACCTACAGCCTCGTCGAAGCCGACGGCTCAATCCGTACCGTCGAATACACCGCCGATGACCACAGCGGTTTCAACGCCGTCGTCAAGAACGAAGTTGGATACAAGGCCCCATCATACTCCGCACCAGCCTACAAGCCAGCTTACTCTGCACCAGCATACTCTGCACCATCCTACGCTGCACCAGCATACTCTGCCCCGGCCTACAAGCCAGCTTACAAACCAGCATACTAATTTATTTAGTCATGTGAACATCTACTCTTCTTCATCTTTTATTTCATGTTTTCTTTTGTACCCCTTTGGACCATCGCGTTCATATTGAACCGTAATTCAAAGTCATACCATGCTGTATTAATATATAAAATAATTGATTCGACTTATATATTTATTGTGTAAATATATATAAAAATGTGTATATTTATTGAACATCTATGATTATTTTACTTTAATTACCACCTTGCACTCCTGCCTGAACAAGAACTGTATACTAAAATACAAATTATATTTATATATATATAAGTTCTTGGGTGTCAGTCATCACATTACAATCGGAAAATATGCTTTAATATTGATTATGATTTTAAATTGATAGTTGCATTTAGTTGATACAAGTTTAAAATTACACTATAGTCATAAAATATCGTTAAAAGTAGAACGTAGCAAATGTGTAACAAAAAATTTCATATGCAACTTCTTGGTTATCTGTGAGAAATGTACAACTTTTTGTGTGGCTATATTAGGTATCAAACCAATGTGCCTATACAAAATACTACAAGTCATGCATATAACTTTTAAGATACAGTTCAATATAATAATATGATATATCAATGATACATCGCACCTATCTTATATTGGCGATACTAAAGTTATGACCATGCATTAAAAGGCAAACATTATTAAAAGTTTATACTCGTAGTTGATAATGACTTTAATTGATGAACATGTGCTGCATTTAAAATAGGTACCTTAAAGGGGATTGCATTTAAATCTTTTTATTAGAATATATTCAGAACATAGGAAATTTAAGGAGGCGTATTATCACTTGACAGTGTGTTGTGTATAATACATGTGTGTAGTAAGCTTAATCAGTAATTTGTATAATCTTTATTGCAATACAATTTTTTATAAAGTATTCAATAACAATATCTAAAGTACTATTTTCAAGATTAGGTATTTTGAATATTTATAATATTACACATGAAAACAATATTTTACTATTCGTAGATATTAGATTCTCTTATCCTGATCTAGTTGTAGGGGAGTTTAATAAATGTACTATTTTCCCAGACCCCAGTAAACCTGACATCGGTATAGATAAAATGTTATTACAGATAAATAGATAATACTTATACTTATATACGTATACTCGTTTAATATATTATGTAAGATACAGGCAGTACAAAAACACGTTGAGCTCCGTTAGTAATTCAGTCGGTTAAGTCAGTGCAGAGCCCGCATCGACGCTCTAAAAATACGTACTTAGTAGGTCAGTGACGAAGACATGATTTCTGAAAGGGGGATCAAAAATATAAAACGACATTGCTAAATGAGAAGGAGGAAATTAGAAATTCCCCATCCTCTCAAAACTTTTTACTTAGGTAGTAAAATATTTAACAATTAGGAACAATTAATATAATTTGAATTGATTCAAAATTCACATCAAACACAATAAAAAAGATTATCCACTCCAAAGCCAATGGGAGGGGAGGGGATCCGACCCGCACTACGTCACCCTTGAATACGCCACTGATATAGTTAGTATTACGTGTCGACACCGGCATCCACGCTCTGAAACATACTTAATTATAGTTACATAGCTTATTTAATTACGACTATGTAATATTAAACTTATTGAAAATAATAATTAAATAGTTTCTTAGGTATATAGAACTAGCCACCAGAAGAAATAATTAAAAATAAAATCATAACTAAAAATAATTTTTATTGGGTGATATAAAAAAATGTTGATTTTTCAATCACCTTAGCTATGTAGGAACATGCAGCAGAACATATTTTATAATAAACATTTTAGTGTAAGAAATGTTATATCAAGTGTAGGTAACATTGTAACAGTAGTATTATAATTTATAACAAATAATGTATTATTCTTATCGGAAATTGACATCGTCGTCATGTCCAGAAAAATAAAACAAATTAATTATATCCTTCGATCTTTGAGAAGGAACCTGATCGCCTACAATAAATTTCAAAATGTTATGCCATCGCCTGTAAATATACTACCTCACTCCGTCACTCCTATTAATTTTTTTTCTTTCATCACCAACATATCATAATAATACAATTACCTATATTTGGTCATCAGGACCCATACGAAGAAGGTTATTATTTTTTAATATTATAGATACGAATAATATCTTATTATTACTAATGTATTATATCTTATTTTTTTTCTGACACTACAATAATATAACGATGTACGGATAATTTACTAATTAGTTCTCTATTTTTCAAAGACAATAAAATTGGTATTTTATATTTTTTTTACTGATGAATTCATCTAGATAAGTGGGATTTCTATTTTAGACAATTGTTCGGATAACTTCCAATTATGTATCTAGATAATATAAAAGATAATTACATAATATTTGACTAGACAGTTTATGTAGATAAATCAAAACACTGCTAGTCCCTGTAATTGATGTGTTAAGTTGTAATTCACTAATATTATCATTGTACCTATACGAAAAACGTTTCTACGAGAAGACGGTCTGTCAATCTATATTACTAAATATATTATATTTCTATTAAAGTACCTAAATTATTTTACTAATAATCAATATCGTTACACAGTATGTTAACTGTTTGGCGAATATAGTCAATATTAGATCTTTAAATTAATAAAAAATAAAAATGTTGACAATTTTAATTTCTTTTAAATCGTAATCGATTATTCGGGAGTACAAACACAATATTTTAAATTTCAGTATGTGGGCATGAACGAAATTTATATTTATAATGAATTTGATCTATATTTACACTTGTTGAACATAATTATTTAATACAAATTAAAATATGTACTATACGGGCGTCTACGCTTCGACCGGTTCTTGTTCGATGATATACAGATACGGTATACACTGCCGGTGGGAAACTGTAGGTACAGTATTATACTATTATGTCATATACGTATGGAAGGGATGGTGTGACGAATTTTTAGCATAAATACCATAACTCTGGTCTCTATAATCATCAGTTCATTTCTGTACACAGTCATCGAATAATTTGACCAAACAACTAAAATAACACTAAAATGGCCGCTAAGGTAAGTCAATATTCATTTTATTTTATGTTTTAAAAGAGTGCGTTTCAATGCAAATTCATTTTTAATATAAGAAAAAAATATAATATGGCAATTGGAAAAAAATGAATAGTTTTTAATTCAGAATTTTTTTTTTTTATTTAGTTCGTCATCTTCGCCGCTTGCGTGGCTACCGCCCTCGCTCAATACTCTGCCCCAGCTTACAAGCCAGCGTACTCTGCGCCAGCTTACTCAGCGCCAAAAGCTTACGCCCCAGAGCCCGCATACGCACCAACACCATACAAATTCGAATACAGCGTAAACGACCCACACACCTACGACGTGCACAGCCAATCCGAATACAGTGACGGAAACGGTTACGTCAAGGGAACCTACAGCCTCGTCGAAGCCGACGGCTCAATCCGTACCGTCGAATACACCGCCGATGACCACAGCGGTTTCAACGCCGTCGTCAAGAACGAAGGTGGATACAAGGCTCCATCATACTCCGCACCAGCCTACAAGCCAGCTTACTCAGCACCAGCTTACTCTGCACCAGCATACTCTGCACCAGCATACTCTGCCCCGGCCTACAAGCCAGCTTACAAACCAGCATACTAAATTATTTAGTCATGTGAACATCTAATCTTCTTCATCTTTTATTTCATGTCTTCTTTTGTGCCCCTTTGGACCATCGCGTTCATATTGAACCGTGGTTTCAAAGTCATACCATGCCGTATTAATATACCAGACAATTGGTACGACTTATGTATTTATTGTGTAAATATATATAGAAATGTCTATATTTATTGAACATCTATGATTTTTTTTTTTTAATTACCACCTTACACTCCTGCCTGAACAGTATATTATATTACATTACATAGGTAACATATTTATATATAGATGTTTTGAGTGTCAGTGATCACTTTACTAACAGAATTGTTCTTGAATATTGATTATGGTTTTAATTTGCTAGTTGCATTTAGTTGAAACTTGTAGGGAGAGGAGTTGAAAATAATATTTTTTAATCTTTTTATAAAAAACAAGAAATCAACGTACATTCTACGGAACAACAGTATTAAAATATTTGAATTTTTTAATTTATAAATTTATGATCGTAAATATATGTGTAAAGTGTAATATATTTACATTATTTACATAATTTTACATTAAATCTGTTTTCTTCTAATAAAATTGAAAGTTTTTGTTTATTTCTAATTGAGTTTTAATAAAAATATTTCATAATATATCTAACAATTATTATACCTAATGAGAAAAAAGTTTTTGCTATCAATTTTTGAATTTTCAACACAATATAAGTACTCTGACTAGAATATATACTCTGACTTCAAAAAGCTCCTGTGTTAAATCGTATTCACAAATTGTTGACGTCTAAGTAGACAAAAGTAGTGCCAATGTACAATTATTGAGAGTACATAAGTTGGTAGTTCGGTAAACAGTAGGTAAATAGTCAGTTCAACAACACATCAATATTGTATATTGAAGAAAACATAACTAAGTGTATTAATACCGATACTGTTGTCGATATATTTGCAAAAAAAAAATAGAATATTAAAATTAAAATAATAAAGGTGGGTAAGTGGATGTCGCTCTGCTGTACAGTAGGTTACAAGTGGGTCACTGTATAATGGATGGTATTAAATTTGAATTCAATGATATAATATCATTGTATAAGAAAAACGATTCTGAGCGGTGACGGTATGTCAGTCTATGTATAAGACATATTATATACATATCTATGGTATTAAACAAAAAATTGACCTATAATAGGTACCTATAATAAATTCCAAACTAATCATATCACAATATCCATTAGATACTTATAACGCGTTATACATCAACAAAAACCGTGATACTATCATAGATATATAATAGTACACTTTAGAAGTTTCAAGTACCCACGAATAATATTATTCAATCACAACAAAATAACTAAAATCGTAATTCTTGG